TATATATATAATATTTGTGTGTCTGTGTCAGAAAATGTAGGCTTCATAACCAAGTATTTCATACATTTTTGGTCACTACAATGAAGGCAACAAATTGTAGATAGCAGGAAGTGATGGTGCGACTAAGTGTGGTTTGACTGATGATGATTGCAGTGAGAGCAAACACTTTTGTAGAAGGGTCAACAACACACAGAACAAAAACGGATCTGAAACCGTTGAAGATAAATGAGTGCACAAGGCAGAGCCAGCAGCCATATGTCTTCCAATAATTACTATAATAGCAGGCATTGCCTTTGACTTGTTCTGCCATTTATTACCGGAGCAGTCCACTAAATGCTGTCTGTGTTATTCTAGGTGCTTAAAGGAGGTCACGAAGCCCCGACTAAGCCCAAGGGAAGACCCAAGAAGAACTCCATTCCTACTACGGAGGAAATAGAAGCCGAGGAGCTGAGGATGAAGATAGAAGAGGAGGAGAGGATGAGGAGGGTGTCCGAGGAAGCATCGCTGGCTCAAGGAGCGGTAGCATCTCCACTGGAACCTGAAGATCTCAGTTCAGAAAGTCACAGTCCGTGCGGAGAAATGGAGGGACCTGAGCGGGAGCAGCCACTCCTAATGTCAGAAACTCACTCAGCCAGCTAAACGAGAACAAAAYCAACCAAAGACTAATGCCAACCTGACAACAAACAGTGCCTCAGGATCAGTGTACAAAAAGCTTGTTGGATACACATCAGTAGTACCCAGTCTTTACCAAGTGCAGCCAGCCTTGTATTTTTTTTATGTACTGGGTTAAGTATTACACAGAATCCTAAGTTTAATACACACTGATTGCACTGGTAATCCTGTGACCTTTGGTCAGTATGACAAGGAGTGTAAATCTGTCAAATCCAAACAGGTCAGTCAAGCCTTTATCAAAACATGTGACCTATATGACACATTCACATTTTTGTGCTTTTCACGTTTGAGGGATCTCACACTCTCAGCGCTCAAAGCTGCCAAGCATCCAGCACTGCCTTATTGTAGCGTCTCTTTGTATTAGAAACCAGTTCGCTGCCAAAAAAAAGCTGTAAGGTCAAAAAGTTACAGTGCCTTGTTGGTCTCAGAGGAAAACTTTTAACTTGTTGGTAAAACAGCCATGAAATACAGTATATTTTTTACAACAAAGTGCCATATTTGGAGATCAATTTTTATTGTTAAAAGAAAACGTCCATGTTGAGATTATACTGTGTAGCTTGTAGAAAAAAACAACTATTTGCTCAGTAAAATCAGCATTTTTAATTTCCTTTAAAGCTAAATGTATAAATCATATATTTAAACTGCTGTTTTTAAATTGGATTAAGATCGTTTGTATGTCTAATGTTTCCTCCGTGCCTGAGTTAGAATTTTTTTAAGGGAGTCGGGATGATTTTCAGTTATGAGGACACTAAGACTCTTAAGCTGTCAATGATTCGTTGAGGGGATAAATCACAGCCTCCGCCAGCAGTACACTGCAAATGTTGAACATTTAAAAGTCTCAAAGATGTTTTCTGCCTGCAGGCTTTGCATGAGTACCCCGATCGGTATGTCAGACCTGCATTGACATAGCGCTGTCTCCGGTTGCCCCTCGCTGACTCTAAACTCCTCACATTCACTTTTTTTTCATTGTAAGGAGTTGCTGTTTGTATTATGAAACAAATTATTTTTATTTGTCTTTATTGTTTGTATAAAAAAGTGCAGTATTTTTCAGATGTAAATTATGCTTGTTTGGTAAGATTGTTTGCAGATTTTTTTTAGGTCTTCATAAAATTATTTTTGGTATATGCTAGTGTGTGTTTATGTATTTAAATGCACTTAATAAAAAAAACAGTTGTCATTTAAATGCTGTTTGGAGTTTCTGTGCTGCAAACACRTTCAAATATGTAGTTTTAACAAGCACTTCCAACTTACTGTTTATCCAACCAGAAACTAGCTCTGCTTGTTTGTGTTTCTGGTGTGTCACTAATGAATGCAATTCAGCAACATAAGTCATCTGCTGGATTTTTTTCTAATTGACTGTCATTGTGCAGAAGTAGCGATAAATCAAACAGTTACMGTAGCTCCGACAGGTTGTTCAGACACATCCATTACTAATGGAGCTTTGGAAGGTCTAAAAATGTCAAAAATAAGCCATAAATCACATTCAAGAGATTATATTTAAGTGAGCAAAGTATTTGAACACTCCACAGTGTGACATTTATTATATTTTCTTCTTTCATTTAAATAGAGAAATTTGCATTGCAGTGCACCGATGGAATCCTGTTTCCCTGGGTGAGTGAGCGACCAGCTAGTGTATTTTTAGCCCTTGATACCAGACACGGATGACTTCTAAAGCAAACAGTGTAGGTTAGCGTTGAGTAATGTGCATTGTGCTTTAACACCTTGAGTAAATATTCCAAGCATGTTTTGTTATGTGCTCACCGGCAGAAAGCCCCTCACCTCTGAGGAGACCAGAAACATTTTCTTCATTCAGTTTCAGTCGAAACGGTTTAATTACTGAGAAAGTCAAAGATAGAAACAAGCTACTCAGAAACGAGACAGACTTTCATTCAAGTTTAATTTAAAAATGTCATGTATTTCTAATCGTTTTCTTGTTGCCTTTTGTTTTTTCTTTCTCTCACACGAGTTAAGCATTGTATGTAGGGCAGGGAAACTACACAATAAAAACCCAAACAACTACTCAAAAGGATGTTTTTAGCCCTGATAAGTTGCCAATACCAATACTTTTGATCAGTTATAGCACTGAAGTTCATCAYTTTTGTTACTGAAACAAATGAACACACTGTGTGCATGAATTCAATTTTAAGCATGGGGTTTTCTCAAGCTGTGCAGTACATCTTACAGAGTTACTYGGCTACTGTAGATTTGAGTCCATTACTTAAATAAGCAGTCTGGTCAAATCTGAGGTGAAGTTCTGTCATACTGTATAGTTTATCAATAACTGGTACCTCATCAGCCACATAGAGCAGGGTATGGAGAAAAAGGAAGAAGGCTTTGATCAGACTAGGCTAATGGCTAGCTAAATCCAGGTTTGTTTTAAATAGATTTTCAAGCTTAACCCAAACTTACTAAAAACAGCATACTAGTGAAAGAGCAATATTATAGTTAATCATAAATTCTACAGCAGAGGTCTTTAATGATGGGGTTGTGAAAATTAAGAAAAAAACCCTTTTTAATATCACCCCCCCATCCCACCCCAAAGTTACATCTTTAAACACAATATTGAGAATCTAACTTGTAGTAAATTGATAAWTGATATATAAATTAATTGATAATAATTGATTGAGGAATAAAAAATGTATTTCAGTCAGAAATGCACACATTCAGGGAGTATATCAGATGAATTCTYCTTCACTCCAGAGCCGGATCCAGGAGTTTTTTGTGTAAGGGGCCATCATAGGGCCAAAATATTCATAAAGGGAACATGTATTTGTTCAATATTTTTGCACACAATTTCCTGGTTTTGATAAGGTGTATACATTTAATTATTCGTACACGTTCAAACATTGGTAATGTAATGTAATAAGTAAAAAAAAAGGTGCACAGTAAATTCTTCTTGCGAGTTTTGCTATACACAGTTAAATACTCGTAAACACACAGCATGTGAAAAAAATTGTCAGGTGAAAGACTTTCTGCAGGATTGTTCAAATTTCAGAAGAGAAGAAAACTTCTGTAAGCTTGAGTCATGCTGGACTAATTAGCGCCACTAGTGTTTGGTCATGGAACTGCATCCACCATCATCACCCTCAGCAAGGGACAGATGAGTGACACCTCAGGGGGACCAATCAGATTTCAGCTTGGGCTCCACCCCTAGAACCACCACTGCTTCTCTCACAGCTTGACCAGGATCACAGTAACGGCTGAGATCCTATGGTCTTTGCCTGGTTCTCTGTTTCTATCTGTTGGGGGGTTCCAGATTAAAAAAATGTGTAGACCCCTGCTCTATACTTTTGTTRAACACAAACACATTCAGTTTGTCTTTGGTTTTCAACTGAACAGTCATCTTGTAAACAGTGTACAGTATGTGCTGAGAGTCTGCTAAATGTATCACTTCACCTAGAGTTGAGAGGAAACCTTTGACCAACTAGACTGTCTGATCAGGCAGACTGATACATTTGAAGCCTCAGTACAAACATGTCTGTGATCTATGCTCATCAGCGCATGCACATTGTGCAGCGACACACATTCACTTGAGAAAACAACCTGAACAAATGGTGTCACACAAAAGTTTAAAGTTTAATTAGCCAGTGTAGCCCAATGTTTAACACAATTTCATTCAGTCCTTGTGTTTAACACGTTGATTTTCCAACAATAATWTGTGAAGGTTACGTTTTTGAAATAGATTATTCAGCTTTCTCACAAGTTTCCAAGTTTCCGTAAAATAAACAGTAATTCCAGTTTCTCCACTGGCTTAAACTAAGACTGAAAGTTCATTCAGTGCAAATGCAGGGTTTTGAACTAATTGCAGGGGGTGAGTGAAATGTGTTTCTGTTAAATATCCTCCTGAAACCTTTGGCTCAAGCTAGCAGGCACTGAGGCAGGTCTAAATGGAGCTGTGTTCTGCAAGCCTTTACAAGTTATGGTGCTCCTTTGGGCTAGTGGTTGTGTGTCAAGGTAAAACTTGGAGAGGGTGGGGAAAAAAACCAACAAGGTAAGACAGTAATGGCCTAATTAGTGAATTTGTTCTTTTCTCACAGGTTCAAGTTCAGCTGTGGGTCAGTAGAATGTTGTGGTGTCAACTCTACTCCGTACACCCTCACTTGTCAGCTTAGCYTATGCTCAGGTAATTAGTGAGGCTTGGAGTGAGGCAGGGAGTGGTCATCACTCAGTGCTTCAGCTGTGTTGTTGAGATCACAACGAACGTTATCTCTGAACGCTGAGTGCAGGCACAACGGGGTTTGACGAAGTCATTAAAGGCGGATGCCTTCTGCAACAAAGCTCCCTATTGTGTTCTATACCAGTCCATCTGCAATGAAAGATAACCGTCTTCCTTTATTAACTGTACTGTAGTTATGATTCGTGTGTGGGRAGAAACAGAAGCAGCTGGCTTTGAAGGCTTTTATCAAATTACCAGTTTATGAAACAGACATTATGTTATGTAAAATTCTTGGGAATCCTAAGTGTCTTTACTAAATCATAATCTTTAAAAACTGCTGCCAATGAAAACAAAATAATCATGACTGATGAAGTTAGTGATTTTCAAAGAATAGCCCTGAAATAAAACAAATGAAATACTTATTCTATATTTCTTACTACTTTCAAGAGGAACCATCATTTTGTGAAGACAAATGTTAATGGTATATAGCAATATTATTTTGTTGCAGACCCACATAAACTTAACACAAAAAGTAAGGACTATTTATTTATTGCAGAGGTATATAAAGTACTTAAACACAAAACCTTAGAAAAGGTAAAAATACCTTAGCAGAAAATGGTTTTGGTAAAAAAATAATTTCACTGATAATAAAAGTACTTAAGTAAAACTCATTGAACTGCTCACAATAATTGAGAAAGTAAGTACTTTTACACACACTAAGGAATGTGAAGTTCAATTTGCTTAACCAAACTGGTTCTACCAAACTGAGTTGAGTAAATTGCTTTACATTTACTGAACTAAGTTTTGTGGAACCAATTGACATAACTTGATTAAGTTAATTCAACACTTCTTATCTTAGAGTGCAAAAACAACTCCTTTTGTATTAGGTGTTGAATTTTAAACGAAAGAAAAAGGTTTCATTTTATGTCGAATGTAACAAAACAAAAGTAAAAGATACAATAAAAAATACTTGGTAAAATTATAGATTCAACCTGGAAGGACTCACACAAAGACAGACTGAAATTAGGAGGTTTATTGACATGACTGGACCAACATGATTYTTGACATGAACAGCATTAGAGTTTGGTGCTCAGACCCCGGCAGAGGACGAGAGCGCTGAATGAAGCTGAAATCTCATATGAGATGCCTTAAGTTAGGGGTAGGAGATTTAATCCCCCCGGGGCCTGACACTGGTGGTGGAGGTCAAAAAATAAATAAAAAGAGGAAGCCAGCAGGTTGTGTTGAATCACTTCATCACAGACTCCCATCCTGAGCGACGGTGGAGAGGAAGAACTCCCCTTTAACAGGAAGAAACCTCTGGCAGAACCAGGCTCAGGACAAGTGGCCATCTGCCTCGACCGGCTGGGTTGGAGGACTGGAAAGAGACATGAAGATTTGAACCAGGTGCACCCCCATTTGAAGGTGAACGGCGGAGGAGGGGTGGCGGCAGATTGACCGTCAGCTGGCATGCAGACAGGGCGACTGAGGCGACTGGTTTAATGCACAGCAGACTGGAGCTGATTGGATGCGGCTGAGATTGCAACAATTAGATGCAGCCGAGCTGGAGATGTGGAGGTCTGCGGGAGCAGGTGAGGCCATCAGTCTTCCTGAGTTGAACTTTTGTTTAAACTCCATTACTCAAAAAAACTTAAGTATTGTATCAAAGTAAACATACTTTGTTACTTAGTTAATGCTTCTTGGCAATAAATTGTATACAGCTAGTAAGCCTTTTAATTTAGCTTTTAAATGGAACCAAATTTGTAGGAAACGTGTTTGTGGGATGAGCAGTTAAGCCGAGTATGTGAGTTGCACACAAAAAATGTCAAATCTTCTCTGCCAAAGAGCTTATTTTGCTGTTGCATTAACTAAAAATAAATAAATAAATAAATAAATAAATAAATAAATAAATAAATAAATAAATAAATAAATAAATAAATAAATAAATAAATAAATAAATAAATAAACAAAACAAAAATATATAATTGCTTTGAGCTTGGT